TTAGTGAGGTTCAATTGTGTCAAATGCAGGACTAAGATCTAACAATACAAGTACAGAGACAAGTCCATTGTCAGAAGCAATTACAAGGTCATTATTTACTTTAACCAGTGCTGACTCTGTAATGTGATGAACTCTAAATCCTGACTGAAAATCCTCAAATAAGCTTTTGCTTTGTATGAAGTCAACTGTTTGGCGACTACTTTCTCCAGAATTTTAAAGAGGAAGGGGAGGTTAGAAATGGGTCTATAGTTGGCTAAAACCCTTGGGTCAAGAGCCAACTCTCTCCTTCCCTGTACTATGCCATGCTAGGCTTGTCTATGCTGAAAAGACAACTAACACTGTAAAACCAGATAAGATCACTTAACTGAAATAAATGTTCAAACTGATTACATCAAACATTTTAAATAAAACTAACTAAATGTTCTTTGTTAAAAAAACATTTTTGATCAAGTAGTAGTCATTTTAAGTGACACTGACTTATTTTTGTAATTTTTATTTGTACTGTGAAAACAATAAAAAGCACTTAATCAGGAATGTTTCTGTAACTTACAAAAATAACTTAGTGTCACTTAAAATTACCAGTAGCTTCATCCAAAAAATGTTTAACTGGCAGAACTGAGTTAGTTTTGTTTTGCTACAGAGCAAAACTCTAGCTAACTACCCAGCTGACAATCGATGTAGGTTAACTAGCTAGTTAGCTAGCACTCTGCTAACATTAGCTAACTTAAGATGTGACTATATATAATTGCCTTTATCTTTTAACCATCTTCAAAATGTGGTTGTCTCTTCAACATAGACGAGTTTAGCAAATAAATGGTAAACGGTAAATGGACCTGTACTTGTATAGCGCCTTTCTAGTCTTCTGACCACTCAAAGCGCTTTTTGGGGTTCAGTATCTTGCTCATGGATACGTATCTTGCTCAAGGATGCTCAAGGATAACATGTGGTGGGAGGAGCTGGGGATTTAACCAACAACCTTCCAATTAGTGGACAACCCGCTCTTCCTCTGAGCCACAGCCGCCCCTAAATAGCATATCTAAGTACAGGAAGTCATTTTTTTGTCTCATGGTGTTAAAGTCATGAATAAAAATATGATACAGCCGCTGCTATCGTTTGAGCTATCATGTCGACCATCTTTATATATGTCAGTGGTCATTACCTGGCTACCCTGCCCCTGCCCCTAGGCTGTCCATTTCCTCTCCTACCAAACAAGAGACAAGGCCTCAGAGAAACCTCAAACCCCCCTGGTCATCTGAGAGACATTATTTGCCCCCTCTGGGGCAAGGGACTTTGGAATGGGTGGTTAGTGTAATGGACTGGGTGAGATGTGATTAACTGTTATGTCATCAGTGTAACTGTGTTAAGAGGTAGGAGTTCAGCTAAGGTGAAAATGTCTGCTGCTTGCAGTTACTGAGATTTCCGAAATGTCAGTGAACATGTTACCGTATATGCTTAGAAGCTGTGACTCCTGCCACTCATTTCAGCATATTATGACAGTGATTTGTGTGAGTTACAGTACCTGTGATTGGCAGAGAATTAGGGCAGATGTTTGTTGTTTTTCCTGCTAGTCTGGGGAGCAAAAGTTAGTCTATAATCAAAGTTAGAGTGAGATGTTAGAGCAGAGCATGCACAGTAAAGTCAACAGGTTTAATTGTTTTTGCTTGTGAAACCAGCTAACATCAGTGCACATTACATGTGAATACATTAATCAAAAATTGATGCAAATATAGTTGCTGCTGCTGTAAATGTGCTGCTGTAAACATTCAAACAGGTTGACAGTGTGGATTTGTTTGTAACTATTGAGAGCTATGAACCACATGAAATCATCAAAATGTGCCATAACTCTTCTCTTTAACAACACAGGTGGAATTTCTCCTCAAAAGCAGCTACTGTATGAGCACAAAGGTCACTGGTCTATATAACATGCATGACTCCTATGAGTTTTGACATTGCAGCAGTGTGTTTTTAACGCCCTTGGCATCTGTATATGACTAGAGCAATCGACTGCAAGGGTTGAAGTGCGTGGGCACACATGCAGAATAACTGGATTACACTTGATGTGGTGCGACATGAGTCAGTGGTCAAGCGTCCCTTTGTTGCTTTGCAATATGATCTGGAGATTTGATGTTCATTTTGTACAGTGGTTGGTTTGAAATGATGATGTAGAGTGTTTTGCAGGCAAGGCCTCATCTGCAGACTGCAGTTAATGTTGTATAACAGTGATATGCTGTTCTGCTGTTTCAGCAGTGTTGAATATAATAGAATGTACCACACTATAGTCTGCGCCAAGGTAATGTTTTCATTTTCTATGCCATCCCTTTACACAGGTAGTCTCCACTGCCCTTCATCAGAGCTTTCAGATTTATGGATATAGAATCTTCAGCACCTCATCTTTGCAGGGACAGTGATGGTGCTGTACCTCTGGACTGGTGACCCTGGGGAGGACTGGGTGACTATTACCTACTGATATTTGTATTAATATTTTATTGTTGAACTTGAGGTAAATTTGCCTTATTAATATCTCTCCTTTCCCTTGCCCCTTCTCAGGTGGGGTTTCCTATTCATTTCTTGGGTAATTCCTAGGATTGATTGGTTTTTGTGTGTGTATATGTCTATATATGCAGGTTTATTGTCATTTGCTGTGTTAAAGGTCACTTGACCAGACTCTACAAAGGCAGTGATCAGGAGTCCTTAATTCTTTTCAGTTGGTGGGTAATAAATATCTGCTCAAAAAGACAAAAACATCCTTGCTCTCTCTGTTGTCTCATTCCTAATTATTTTATTCTATATGGATATGGCAACGTTTCAACCACAATGTTCTTCCTCAGGCAAATGTGACAGTGTTGTCTTTTTTGTCTGCCAGTTCCTAATGAACAGCCCCTCTCCTGGATTTGTTAGGCTGGTTCTCACAGCAATCATCTAAGGATCAGACTTGAGATGAGCCAGAATTTTATTTATAAAATATATGACGATGATAAAAGTAGGAACCTGATTTTTTCACAGATTATCTGTCTCATGTACTACTGTCAGGATATAGTTTATTTTTTTAAATAATAAATACATTTTAATAGGTTGGGTCAAACTTCATTAACACTTGCAGGACAAAGCCTTGAACAGATCGAGATGAAAATAACCCCCTTTAACCTCCCTAAAGCTTTCAAAGCATCTGTGAAATCCTTGTAAAATAACCTGTGAGTCCCAGATTTCTATGTATTGCTTCATCCCTGAAACTGACATTTCAGCCTTTGAAAAACTTTTGCATTAATGTTAAGGGCCATGAGGAAGTAAGGAGTAGTTTTTTGCTATTTCAATCTTTACCTTTGGAATGTTTGTTGGCAGGAAGAGGAGGACAGGATGTTGGCAGTAAGGTCTGAACATAAAGATGGATTAATAGAAATCATATAGAAGTGTTTTACCTCTGGTGGGATTGAAAGCAGTAGAAAGGTGACAGCAGAGTCTCATGGTGGAGCAAAGAACCTGGGAGATGTCAAGTCTCTGTCAGACTCACATGAAGTAGAATGACTGTGACTGTCTGCACTTTGACTCGATAAAAATAATATGCAGGGAACATTAAACAAAAGAAGGGAGACACAGAATGTCTTTTTTTTCCTCGTCACCTGACGGCACCTGGTTGTGTACCAGCTGCCTTCAGCGTCAGGAATATGAAGTTTAAATAGACAGAAATATGGTGTATGAGCATAAACGTGTGCAGAATATAGCACCCATTCTTCCATTTCAGCTGTGTTTGATCTGCAGCCATGAGCTGCATAATCAAAATGTACACATAATCTATACATAGAGCCAGTTTAAGGTATGAGAGAAGTAAGTGTAGGGATGTATGGGTTATCATTTTAGAGAAAAGACCATGTACAGTGCATGCTGAGAGGTTTGTCAATATGTTAACAGTGCTTCTACAACTTGATTTAATGACATACAAGTAATCTACTCCTTCTACCTCATAATTAAATATTCCAGAATCTCTGAATATGCTAATGTTGTTCATTTCTAAAGTTTTGCTGCTGGACACAAGATGTCTCCTCCTTCACTGTAAAGTCCATTCTCAGTGGATGTGCACTGGTGGCTTCAAGTTTCTACATCACACTGTACAAGTTACATACTGGACCAGGTTTTCTCATATTCCAAATCTACACACTTTAGAACTTTTTCTGCTTGTAATAAATCACAGCAGCAGAAATTACTTTCATTGGAACAAGAAACTAGCTTGGCTTGTTGGTGCAGCATTTTTCTTTAAAATATAGATTTTTATTTTCCTAACTTGTAATCCTTATTTATTCCAAGGAATATAAATTTCCATGTTTACAGTGCGCAAAGATGCTCAAGCCGGCTCTATGCATACCACAGCACTGTCCTTGATTTAGGTCACAAAGTGGCCAGTGATGCAGTAAATGTTACTACTACTATTACATTGAATCTGAATTCATTTTTGAAACTTTTTTTAAAATCAAATTACTTATAATATTTCTCTATTATTAAGTATATGAGTATTGGGTAATTGAGTTTTCAGGAATCAAAATCAGAATTTGTGGACTGGAAAATTATTCTATTTTATTATCAAAATGTTTCATTTGTATCTAAATTTCTACATTCTTCACAAGTGATTTACTCTTACAATTAGTTATTCAGTTGCTTGTAGGATTCTAATATTTATGGCCATCTTTTGCTTTCGTAGACAAACCTTTTTTTCAGGCTTTTTTAAATTGAACATGAGGGAAATATATAAACAAGGTAGGTAATATATACACAAATCAGAAGTAGAGAAATCCATTTACAGTGGTAGAAATGACACTATAGGTAACAGCAACAGAAATCAAAAAAAGACAATCATATAAACATACAAGGAGCACCAAAGATAAAAGGTAAGGTAAAATACATTTAAAAAGCATAGATTCTATAGAGAAACTGGCCATTAACAAGTTTGTTGCAATAGTGCGCCTGCGCAGCCTCAGATCTCCCCAGAAGAAGAAAGCCAGCCAGTAGTCAGCCACTTCCTGTTTACGTTTCCACAAATGACGTCACGCGGATAACATTTAATCAAACAGTTTCAAAACCGAAACAGAGTTTAACTTGACAAACAACTCCTCAAGGTGCTTGTGACGGCGGGGTTAATATAGCTTCCGTCTTAGCTACATACCGGAGCCCCGGGAGAGTGAGAGACCGACGGGTTGTCCGTCCTGCTCTTATCTGAGGACCGAAGCAAGCTAACGCTAAGTAGGTGACAAGCTAGCTGGTAGCTAGCTAGCGAGTTAGAAAGAGAAAGTCAGCAGCACTTCTCTATTAAACAGAGCGGCCACCGTCCGTCAGCATGGAGAACAAATACAACCTCAAGAGTCCAGGTAGGCTCACTGTCTGATGTTGTCTCTCTGTTGGGCAGCGAGTTTGCTAACCTGACTGACAGCTGTAACACACAAGTTCACTGTGGACATTGTTTAATTAACATACAGCCATTCTGAACGAACTTCAGTCGATGTTAGAGTGCTACACTGACACGAGCCCATTAATGCGTATATTGACTCTAATTGTCAGTGTGTGTGTGTGTGTGTGTGTGTGTGTGTTTGCTGGCTTTTTACAGTAGATAATTACATATGGAAATACTTCGTTATTGCACTGTACAGCATTGAGACACCTATATTCATGTAGGTTAGCTTCCATGGTGTGCAGTGGCACGAGTCTCTTCCTGCGCTCAGACAGTACGTGGAGCTGAGCTGTGTAACGTCACTCTTTGGTTAGGACGTGTCCACCTGTGTAGCTACAGTCCTGGACGGTTGTGAACAGAGTTAAACTGGTCTAACAACAACAAAAGTAAAGGTGTTATTGCCAGAAGAGGACCTAGGTGGGGTCAGAGGGGTGATAGTTGTGAGTTGCAAGTAGGGCTGCACAATTAATCGAAATATTATCCAAAGCGCAATATGCAAATAGCAGAAGCAATATGCAAATCGCAAGAGCTGTAAGGTTTTGTTAAACGTAAAATGTGTGACAAACAGCATTATAATGAAGTACTGTGTGTGTGTGTTTGTATATATATATATAAATGCAGGTTACTGTGTTATAGGGCTGCGCAATGTTTTAAAAACACAATATATTGCGATATTATTATATATATATATTGTTATGATATACATATTTTGACAGATTACCATATGATTCACTGTTAGTGTGAATGATCAGATTTGCAATCACAATTTTATTTGTCACTGAAAGAACAATAAAGACCATGATGATGTGCAGGGTTTCCCACAGGAAATGTGTTAGTCAAGGTGATAGGCCATCAGACAGGCGGGAGGGGGGTATTGGTTGCCATCAGGCGTTTGGGGGGTGGCAACCAATACCCCCACACACATACCTTTTTCAATTGTAGGCCTGCTTCGTCGTACGAAGAAGCCCGCAATTTTTGGTTGCGTTTTTCTGTCCATTTGGCTGTTTACAATGCGAGAGAAAATCACGTGCAATCATCCAACGTATAGCTATAAGACAACCACGCAACTAGCCTTGATAAGAAAACATTACGCCTATCATAATAATTTCAGATAGCCGGAGGATCTGTCCTAGGTTTCTGCCTTTTAACAGGCAGTTTTTCCTTGCCCTTGTCGCCAAGTGCTTGCTCATGGTGGTACTGTTGGGTCTCTGTAAATAATGTTAAAGAGTTCAGTCTAGACCTGCTCTATTTGAAAAGTGTCCTGAGATAACTTCTGTTATGAATTGACGCTATACAAATAAAATTGAATTGAATTGAATTGAATTGAGATACTTCGAGTGAACAGTTAACAGGTTATTCAAGTATTTATAGAATTTAGATAATTTAGAATAATTATCTTACCTCGATGCGACAGGCTATCCAAATGCCAGATGAACGTCTTCACCCAAAAATGTTTTCTTTTTACCCGGATAAAGAATGTTGTAGAATGTTTGGCGAACGATGATAGATAGAGCGATGACAACCACCAGATGCCACTGTTCGGACGCATCACACCATTCAGAGCCATATCACATATTTAAAGATTATAAAAACTGATTATTTTCCGATTCATGGCACGTTTTATCATTATATTTTTTTAATGCATTCTGCGGAGAAGGGAGACTAACATTGGTCACGGTTTGGAATGAAAGGGAGAAAACAGGATAGAGTAACACGGTGGATATCGCTCATATTGCTCATATCATTCGGCAGGCGTGTGTTGCTAAGGCGGCCGCCTTAGCTGCAAAGTGCTGCGGGAAACCCTGATGTGACATTTGTTGGGGTCTGTACCAAACAAATAGTTTTCTTACATCTGGAGAACAAGATTTGTAGACCAGGACATCTCTGCAGCACTGCAGGACTTCATTATCATGCTGTTTGTCACGCATTTTATCTTTATCAAACAATTGCAGCTTCTTGCTATTTGGGTATTGCACCAGACTGTGATTTCAATAGTATTGCGATTAATTGTGCAACCCTACTATGTTATAAATAATACAAATCACAAGCATAAATATACACCGTATGAACCAAAAAAAAAAGAAATATAAAAAATAAAACACTAACTAAAGGGGAGATCACGCTGCCGGTAGGTAAGCAAATAAAAACAGGAGAAATAGGGATAGAAACAGCAGATGAGTGCTCAAGATATTGAGCAACCCAAATATGCCACTTGGAGTACTTCATTAGGAATTGGGGTAATGTAGCATGTTAACGCCCTTCCCAGGTTTCTGATCACTGTATGTTATGTACTCTGTTACACTGTTTCATAAACTTGAGTTATATTAGCAGTCAACCTGAATCTGCACACAATACTGTCAAATCTAATACTGTTAGAATCGTGTATACGGCGAGCTGAATAACTTTTTCTCAAGGTTCTCATGTTTCATGTGAATGTCATGTTCTGAATAGGATTAGAAGATTCAAGACCAGGATATTAGTAGGGGTGAAATGATAAGTCATTTTCAAAAAAGTGCTTCAAATTCTAGGGTTCCAGCTTCTCAAATGTCAAGATTTGTTCCTTCTCTTTGTCAGTTAGAATAGTAAATAGAATACATTTGGGGGTACATTTGGTCAGACAAGGCATTTAAAGACGTCACAATTGCAATATTCAAATCACAGAAATTGCATCTGTTTTGATGAAGGGAAAATGTGTGACAAACAGTATTATAATGAAGTACTGTGATGCCCTGGTCTACAAATCGTGTTCTCCTGATTTAAGAAAACATGTTTGTTTGCTACAGACCACAACAAAATGGGCTCTTTGGTACAGACACTTCATGTGACATTTGTGATGCAAAAATTATCATTCTAACACTAATGGTGAATTATTTTATAACCTCATCACCTCATGCAATGTGTTCTCACTTCAAAGTCATCCAATACCGCCTCTTGGTCAGTGGGGTAGGTATCCCTTTAGTGTCATTTCTGGATGCACAGGGTTCTGTGAACAAGGTAGCAATAATACATATGCAGCATCTACTAGTGTCTGTGTGACAAACTTCTATGGCACGGCTGAAGTTTACATAAATGAAGTTATTCTCCCACTGTGGTAGCTAGATGTTTGTTAATGAATAAATATGTGACTTTATTTTTGTGGATGGTCCGTTTCAGATTTTTATTTTAGGTTTACAGTGTGTGTCCAAGTGTGTAACAGGCAATGTGAGTTAAATGTGACTTGCAAAGAACTGCAAGGCCCTTTTTAGATTTTTTTTTTTATCATGTTATAATAACAATTAGTGGAGTATTACACATTCACAGCTACATTTTCCACTAGCACTCCTTCACATGTAGGCACCAGACACAGTGTGTTTTATGATGTACACTGAGAATTTGGATGAGCAGCAGACACAAAAATCTAGAAAAAAGATACTGGTAACACAATGAAAGCACCGAGTTCATGCCACGTATCACCAAGTACCTGCTAGAGTATCATGTAAGCTTATTGTTTGTTCTGCTGGTGTACAGCTACAAGGACAGACACACTATGCACACACACACACACACACGCGCAGGTGCTCAGTACCCACAGGCATGATTTGTTTGTTAAGAGCCATTGGGTTGGAACTGTGTCCAGCTTTCAGTTTTAATGTTCAGAGTTTCAGAATCACTGTATCATTCATTCTTACTGGAGTTAATGCACATGTAAAGCACCAGTATCAGCCTTGGACAGATCTATAACATGTTTATTATATATTAGCTTATTTTCAAAGAATCCCTTTATGATTTCCTAAAGAGGAATAATGTGACCTCTTGTCACATTGTAGTGGGAAGATTTCCTCAGTTAGTCTGCTGGGAAAGCCTCATTAGCATTCATCCCTCAAACCACGGATATAGGTAGCAACAAATGTAGCTTGAAGCTAGTAGCACCCACGAGGTTCATTGAGAAATACTGAGAATACTGAGTATGAAGATGAATGTTTTCTCTAATGTGCACCGATGCTGCGCCCTTGACAGGAAACACTGACTTTGCCAACTGTTTCCATTTGACTCCTGGCTGGCCTTTTACTTTTCTGTGCACGTCCCTGATGATCACATCCACAGTGCTGTACGGTATATTTTTTGTTTTAATAGCTGCAGTTGATTTACTGTCTGCTGTGTAAAGTTTACTATATCCCATCCTTCCTTACTGTCCCTTATTGTACCCCACCGTTTGCACTAAATTCAGGAACTGACTCAAAGAGTGGGATTAGCTCTCTTTTGTACTCCTGGCTTTACCTCTCAGCTGAATGCAGTAGGAGAAGCAGCGGCAGAAGAGCATTGAGGAAAGTGGCCAGACTTTGGAGGAGTCTTTTCCCTCCCTCCACTGTGCTCCATGCCTTTCACATCTTTGGAGTTGTTGTTATTATGCAATGACTCCTCTCCTCTGGACCAACTATGAATCTCTTCCCAGTGGCAAACACTCAAAATATGTGTTACATAATATGATTTGGCGTTCAAGGATTATCACCCTATTGCCTTGAGCCAGTGACCGGACCTCTGCTAACCTAACAGAGGCCAGAGGCATTTGTATGGGAAAGGGCTTTTCCTTGTCATCTCTACTTACTGTCACTGGAAGGAAGAGCCAAAAATGGGCAAGGGATATGAAACTCAGCAGGGGATATGGAGCACTGGAGCGCCTGTCACAGCGTATCCAGGCACTGGCAGGGACAGTGGTGTTAAGAGGATGCTGTGCTGAGATCTGGAGTGGCTCCTCTTCCCCTCTCCTGTTCCAGCTCAGCATGCCTACGTATTACAATGTGTTCATGCTGGATAAATCTATGTCCAGTGCCAATGCTGGAAGTAGTATGCAGAAAGTAAGGGTTTGGAGATCTGGGTAGTGGATGGGAGTGAATGGACTACTAGTTACTTGTACTTGTGACTTTATAAGTCACAAGGTTT